AGGACAGGGCTCTGACCGATTAGACAAATGCGTGCTCCAAATTTATCGACAAAAATGCCCCCGAAAAAGGGGAGGACGATGTTGGGGAGGGAGTACACTGTGTAGAAGAGCGAATACATGGGCTGCAGGGGAGGGTTAGGGTTAATAAACGGTGTAGAGGAAGGGTACAAAGACGTCGGCCGATAATTGTTAGCGGACATTGTAGCTGCGTTATAATTTTGGGAAAAGCAGGGACATTTCTTGATCGCTAGCTGAGAATCGCACGCCAGCGACCCCTAGGCGAGGGAGTGTTAGGGTGATATGTTCCTCCCTACACCCTTCTTTTTCCTTCGTACCTCGAATTCACTCTTGTCCAGGCCCATGTTTTGACGAATCAAGTCCTTCAACGAGGCTGGAATGTCATACACGAAGTAATTGCTTAGCATTAGGAGCGATGCTGCCAGGAGGATGACCCATCGTAGAGACGAGGCGGACTTCTGAAGTAGTTTTGTCGGAGGCATCAGGGTCTGAACAGAGAAATTGGGGAATGATGGAAACAAGAAATTTAAATGCGCCATCAGAATCGTCGCGGTCGAAGACTCTCGAGCATTTCTGGAAAAAGCATTGCCTTGTTCCACCACTTAGCGTACACGTGCAAGGAGTCCAATGTGGGAGCATGAACGGAATAATTTCCCTGATAAATGGAGTGGAAGAGGGCTAATAGCTTCAGTCACAGACAGCAATAAATATCAACACCCCCTACAGCAATCACAATGTTTCCATTCAGAAAGAGTCCGCACCTTGTCCCTGCTCGGAAGTGTCGACATAACCTGTAATTCAAGTCTCCCGCGAAAAGCACGGTCGCCTACTCTGCAATTCGGTTTATCGGGACGCAGAATCCTTTAGAGCCATCCTACGGGATGGAGGAACAAAAAAAGTAAGAGCCGGGGCACATGCGCGCCACCACCAGCTGATTGGGAGGGGGGGGCTCGAAGGATATTGTTGTAAGAGGCTGTGCTTCAATGCCGTGCCCTGGTGGAGAATGTATTGTGTTCTCACAAGCCTCAACATTGTCCTAGTGTAGTGCCTGATTGCACTCCAATGGGGTGGAGCACATGGCCCGCCCCCTTGAATTATTTGTACGCATTTGTTTAGGTACCTTTCTTCTTCTATTGGCCAGCTGTACTCAATCCTGCCGCGTGAATTTCATTTCATGCGTGCTTCTGTACCGTTGGTTGATTTTTTAGGGTCTTGTGGCACGTTATGCTGATGCTTATCAATCGTTCCCCGAGTGCTGAGAAGGATTCTAGTATCTTTGCTGCCTTGCTTCCACCCGTTCATGAGTCCACGCGTACGCAAAATTGGTGTGGCAGGTATCACAGCATGGTCATCCTTTGAGCAACATATCATTGTCATCTACTCTAGACGTCCATATCACTGTGTACATGTGTATGGAGCTAGAACGTCAATTTCCCATGGCCATTCCGAGAGGTTGGGGGGAGAGCTCAGACGTGTCCTCGACCGGTCCGTGACTTGAAGGCCAAGAAACGATCCAGTTTTTGGATAAGTTACACTTGTACGGTCATATATCTATCCATCCGTGTTACAAAACACGGTCAAGCGTTTTTATGGATTGACGCGCACGAAAAGACACCCTGATAGCCTTGAATGGCGGGGCCCATCTCCACCACCCAAAGCTGCCCACAGCCTCATCCCTTTTTCTCGCGCTTTCATCCGACACACCAGCATACTTCCACAGACATAAGCTTTCATCTCAAGCATGGGTAAATCAAGCAAATCCAAGGCGGACAAAACACTGGGTGCGGACGTGGTCGTCCAGAGCAAAGGTGGCAGCGCCGAGGGCACGAAGGCGGTCGGCAAGAAAGGCAAGAAAGCAGCGAAACCTGTCGAGCCCTCTTCCTCTTCCTCCAGCGACTCCTCGTCCGACGAGGAAATTGCACCGACCACCAATGGTACGGCGGGCAAAAAAGGGGGCAAGGTTGTGGCCAAGCCGGTGGCAGCAAGCAGTGACTCGGACGATGATTCCTCCTCCTCTTCCTCTTCCGAGGACGAGGCCCCTGCGCCCAAGAAGGCGACGCCAGCGGCCGCCAAGAAAGAGAAGCTGACCAAGAAGAAAGCAGCGCCTGAATCGAGCGACAGCGACGATTCGGGTTCGGAGTCGGACGACAGCAGTGAGGAGGAGGAGGCAGCGGTGAAGCCAGCCACTCCCGCCCGTGGGAAAACGACAGCTCCCTCGAAGAAGGCAGAGCCTGAGAGCAGCAGCTCCGAGAGCTCTGACAGCAGCGACGAGGAGGAGGAGGTGGTGGCGGCAAAACCCAAGGCGGCCGAGGAGTCGTCGGACGAGAGCAGCAGCGACAGTGAGGAGGAGGAGGAGGAGGAGGAGGAGGAGGAGGAGG